TATATATATATTAAAGAAAACCATGGCTAGGAATACATTTTTTGAAGGAATTTAGTCAAATTTACAGAAGAAGAGAGAAAGAAACAATTGTTTAAAATGTAACAATGGAGACAGGAATATTACCAAATGTTCTTCTCACTTTGCTCATGCTTTTCATAACATATTTGAATTGTATTTAATATTTGTTAAAAGTATATGAATAAATAAAAAATATATGAATTCTTACATTTACAATAAATGATTAGCTGTTAATATGTTATCCCATGAGCTTTGTTTCCTCACCAAGTAGTGTTCATTTCCAGCCATCAGCGTCTTTTCCTGCTGTGAGAAACAGAAGAAGGAACAAAAAGGGATGAAGATATTTTCTTTTTAGCATCTCAGATAAAAAAGTAGTTGCTTATAACAACATATGTTATAGGGGGAAACAAATCAGAAGCAATAGAGTCAGATCAGAGAGTTAATTAGTTAGAATTAATTTTAAGCATTTATTCACTGGAGAACAAAGTCGACAGACAACCTTCTTCAGTTCAGGATACATTTAGCAGCTGGCATCTCATCAGTAGCTCTGTGCTTCTTTTCACACCTGAGAAGCCACAGAAACTCTGCAGAGTGCAGAAAAAAACACCCTTTTATTCTCAGTTAGCTTGAAGCACTTTCATATTTTAGACCCGTTTGAACACTTTTAATATCTGTTCTGTTTTTTTCTTACAGATTTGACAGTTTGAAACTGTGGCTCAGAGGAAACTGGTTGGGATGAAAAACACAGAATTTGTTTTATTTGAAATGTTGTGAAGCTAAATTTCTAAAAGTTATGTGTTGATTTTATAATATTTACTGTTGAGGGTTTGATCAATATCATCAATAGCATCGATCAAAAATCAGCCAGTAATTTCTCCAGAGCCGGAGGGCCTGAATGCTTTCTRGTCCACACTCTCTTTTTGGACCGAGTTGATCAGAGACACGCCTCAGAAAAGGGGTGGGGCTTGTGGAGTTTTCAGACCTGTTCCACTTCGTATATTCCCCAACTAAAGGATTTAAATGTGGAAAAAGAAGGATTTAAAAGCATCATGTGTCTACTTTTAAAGAAAATATTTACCCTGAAGAAGACACCAAACAGAAGTTGCTTCATCTGATTTAGGTCCTTGAGATAAATCTTTTATTAAAAATAAAATAAAATAAAATGGTTACACAATGGTTACAGGATATTGGGTTTCTCCATGAGCAAAATATTAAAAAAATCCCTGCTAAAATTAGCAAGAAGCAGTGTGTTTGATGACATAACATTTACAGGTATCTCCAAGTAACTCACGTCATTAACTAACCAATCAAAAGCTTCTAAAGCCATGACATCATCAGCATGTCCCCAAATAGTTTAGAGGCAAACTGATCTTAATGTATGTAAACTTGTGATTTTTAAGAATTATAGTTCTATAAAAATATTTCTTTCTTTCTCACTGTTTGAACTTTAAACAAGCAGAACTAATTATAATAATGCAGACTGACCTGAAACAGTAAAGTTTAGTCTGATTTAATGTCAGGCAGAAGTTATGATGTACACATCTGGTTTCATCTGGATGGGCTTTTACATCCCTGCTTAGATCTAACATTATTCCTTTATTTTTCATCTAAATTATGATTACTGTAGCCACACAGAGTTTAAAAGAGGGTATATAAAATGGGATGTCTGTGAATCACTGAAAATATAAAATTCTAGGTTTTCAAATGAAAATAAATCACAGTTCTCTGCATCTTTCTCTATCAGTCATTAGTCCTGCTCTCTTCTCTGGAGCAGATGTTTATTTCTGCATTTAAATGTTTTCTTATGGCGACTGCGTGTCTTTAGTCACTTTGATCTCGGAAGGTGACCCTGTTGTCTGTGACATATTGTACTTGCATGAATGTCAAAAATAGCCCAGGGACTCTGCTCAGCTTCTGCAGGAACAGCAGGGAAGACTGGAGGAGGAGCAGTGGGGGGAGGGGGCAGCAGCACTGGAGCACAAGTGTAAAAGATAGTCATGGAGATAGAATTATACAGTGTAGATTAGAAATGGGAATGTTGTTATAGAGCAATAGGATATGAGTGTCAGTATTCACTTCGACCTGCAGCTTTTACAATCCAAAGAGCCATTTCTGTTTTTTTGCTTCTTATTAAACAAAATGTTCCTAAAATGCTAAATAAACTAACTGTGACCACCCCTTAGTGCTGCCTAYGGTTGGGCATAATCGTATCCTGTGCAACTAATCGCCAGAAAAACAATTGATTATTTTTTGGCACTCGACGATGAGTACGATTAATGCCACCAGACAGAGTCCGCTCGGTGCTCCTCTCCGCTTCAAATAGGATGAACATTAAAAAAAAGTTCTGTAATTTATTTATTTATCAAAACAATTTAAAATTTGATGTAAAGCCTCAAGTCTGTAATTTTAACACAATTTGGAACAGATTTTTCTGAAGAGCAAATTTTTCCTACTAAATTGATCATGTGACTAAGACATAAGAGTGTCCAGGGACTCCAGGGGATTAATCATCAAATTAATCGTTATCGACTAAATACCACAAATAATTGTGATTGATTTTTTTTGCCAATATTGCCCAACCCTAGTGCTGCCCTCTATAAGTTGAACAGTGCCTACTGCAGTTGAATTTTCCTCAGTTAAAACGGTACATGCTTACATCACAGCTCCTGTGTTCAAGTGTAAAAGCCTCTCATTCAGCCAGTCAGGAGCTGGAACTGTGTAGGGTTGGGCGATATTGGCAAATAAATGAATTGTGATTAATTGTGGTATTTGGTCAAGTACTATTAATATGACAATTAACCCTCTGGAGTCCCTGGACGCCTGCACGTCCTATTCACACAACCAGTAAATCACTGGGAAAGATTTTCTCTCTGTAAAAATCTGTTCCAAATTGTGTCAAAAGTACAGACTTCAGGCTATACATCAGTTTTTAAATTGTGCTGATAGGCCAAGTGAAAGCAGAGTTATGATAAATAAATTACAGAACGCCTTTTTAGGGTTCAAAATAATTGGAGTCTTACTATGGTGGACGATATGCATCTTTTAAAGGAATGCCCCCTTTTATTGAATTACTTTTTAAATGTTTGAACTCTGACCTTGTCTTTTCTTTCCCCTCTCCAGATTGATGCTGGGCCTTGAATGTCTCGTCACTGCCCTCTAAAGTCGGGGGCCAGAAGGAGTTTGGAGCCGGGCTCTGACAGCGGCAGCAATGCGGGCTTCTGTGGCGGGCTGCAGGATGAGCCTGGGCGCGCTCGTTAACGGGCTGCTGGTCTCCGTAGTGGCAGCTCTCCTTTGGAAGTATACCAAGCTGAGTGAGCATGCCGCTCTGCTAGAGGAGGAGCTGCACATGACACAACAGTCCCAGGAGTTCTCACAGGCCCGCATTGACTACCATGTGGCCCTGCAGTCTCTCCAGGAACACGGCACCCGTATGGTCTGCACTGGCAAGATGCACACTGACCGCATCTGCCGCTTTGACTATCTGTGCTACTCCTCTGAGGCAGAGGAGTTTGTCTTCTTCCACTCCAACTCCTCCATCATGCTGCCTAATCTTGGGTCCAGGCGCTTCCAGCCTGCCCTGCTGGATTTGTCCTCTGTGGAGGATCACAATACCCAATACTTCAACTTTTTGGAACTCCCAGCTGCAGCGTTAAAGTTTATGCCCAAGCCTGTGTTTGTACCAGATGTGACTCTAATCCTGAACAGGTTTAACCCCGATAACCTTATGCACATATTTCACGATGACCTCCTCCCAGCCTTTTATACCATGAAACAATATTTAGACTTGGACGACGAGGCACGTCTCGTCTTTATGGAGGGCTGGGGTGAAGGGCCGCACTTTGAGCTCTACAGACTTCTCAGCAACAAACAGCCGCTGCTCAAAGAACAGCTGAGAAACTTTGGAAAACTCATGTGTTTTACGAAATCCTATGTTGGCTTGTCCAAAATGACCACCTGGTACCAGTATGGGTTTGTCCAACCGCAAGGCCCCAAAGCCAACATTTTGGTGTCAGGGAATGAAATCAGGCAGTTTGCCAAGGCACTCATGGATAAAATGAACATCACGAGGGCAGAAGAGGCGTGGAAGGATGGAGAAAGTGTTGAGAAAGACAAGGGTAGAGAGAAGAAAGATGAATACATTGTAGTTTTTAGTCGTTCGACAACAAGGCTGATACTGAATGAACCAGAGCTGATCATGGCGCTGGCCCAAGAGTTCCAGATGAGAGTGGTTACYGTGTCCTTGGAGGAGCAGTCGTTTTCCAGCATCATCCGAGTGATAAGTGGTGCTTCCATGTTAGTCAGCATGCATGGAGCTCAGCTTATCACCTCGCTGTTTCTTCCCAGAGGTGCTGCTGTTGTAGAGCTATTCCCCTTTGCTGTGAACCCAGAGCAGTACACTCCATATAAAACCCTCGCCTCCCTTCCAGGCATGGAGCTTCACTACATCTCCTGGAGGAACACGAAGGAGGAGAACACCGTCACCCATCCACACAGGCCCTGGGAACAAGGCGGCATTGCCCACTTAGACAAAGAGGAGCAGGAGCGAATCCTGACAAGTAAAGACGTTCCCAGGCACCTGTGCTGCCGTAACCCAGAATGGCTCTTCCGAATCTACCAGGACACTTTGGTGGACATCCCTTTTTTCCTCGAAGTCCTCAGAGATGCCATGAAGACCAAGCCCAACTTGAAGAAAGCCAAACTGGCCAGCATAGTCCATCCCGGCCGAGTCAGAGAAGCCCGTTGTCAGACTTCAGTACAAACGCCCAACGAGGCTAAGCTCACCGTTTCATGGCAGATCCCATGGAACCTGAAATACCTCAAGGTGAGAGAGGTGAAGTACGAGGTGTGGATCCAGGAGCAAGGAGAGAACACCTACATGCCTTATATCCTCCCCCAACAGAACTATACCTTTTCTGACAACATAAAGCCCTTTACCACCTACCTGGTGTGGGTGAGGTGCATCTTTAACAAGAACCTCCTGGGTCCCTTTGCAGATGTTCTGACATGCCGAACTTAAAACAAACACAGGAGCAATTAATTGTTTGCTGCAATCATATGGAAACACATTGATTACAGCTTGAACAGTGGAGGTTGGTAAATATTGTTGACTGTGTAGCTGTTGCACAAAGATGGTTTTATAACTGCTGTAGAGTCTCAGTCAGCCAGGACATGGAAAAAGAAAATAAACAAAAACAAAACAAGTTTTATTCTGGAGTTGAAGATGTTTTGGTTTCCTTCAGAGGAGGGACGCTTTCTCAGTTAGAAAAAACGAATGTGGAGTTGCAAGCTTTTAAACTGCATCAGATGTTTTGTTATYCTATGACTTGCTTTATGTTATGCTGTGCTATGCTATGCTAGCCTGGCCCTTATCAATTCTAGTTTCCCTTCACTGCTCCGTCTGGGATTTCTTCCATAGACAAGGATTTCTTCGGGAGAATTTTCGTCCAGACCAATCAGAGAGCAGAGCATAGATTTTCTGTGCAGTGTCTGCTAGTTAGTTTAGCTTAGTTTAGCAATGGCAGTGGAGGAAGTGAATGTCCCTCCATGCGTGTGTGGCAGGTTGTTAGTGCAGATTCTCCTTCATCCAGGACGTGATAAATCAAATAAAGAAGTCAAATAAAAATTGCTTGCATGATGGAGCATCTCATGCAGTTGTGTTAGTTTTTCCAAAATACAGATTCAAGAGTTTAACCAAAAATAAAAATACTATAGCATGTCATACGATCAACTGCAACAAAAAAATAACACAAAGCATTAACTTTGTTTGGTGCCACCGTATTTACATCCACACAGATGTGACATTCTTTTCAGAACATAATATGATGATTCTGTATAATAATCACGATTAAGGCATAAATAATAACATAAAATTTCTTCCACAAAGCTTAAAAGCTTGCAACTCCACTCTCCATTTTTTTAATTTGAAAAACTCCTTGGATGGGAAGCAAACCATCTTTTAACTGCAGAATAAAAGTCCAGTTTTGTATTTTGATGTTTTTATATCCAGTAAAGACTGTAAACAGTCCTGAAAGACTGCTGAAGACTAAAACTGTTGATGTAAGACAGAAGAGCTGAGCCAGATCTCTACTGATTGATTTATTTATGTGAGATTAAAGAT